TTGACATTTAAAAATTCTGATGTTCATCTTTGTGTCACCTGGACTGAGTGGTGCTGATGTCCTCCATGCTGTTCTGTAAATAAGAACTGCATCTGTGCCCAGAGGCAGTAAATCACAAGCCAGAGGTGTGTGACTGTGGGACAGCATACCTGTCGGTGGTTGTCCCTGCAGCCCGGCAAACAATGCAGCTGTCTCTGTGATAGAAGGTCTTCCTCAGCCCTCCTCACCTCCAGATCCAGAGACATCACCCTGGGAGGCAGCAGAGGGGATTCAGGCTCTGGAGCTTCAGCCCAATCACTTTTTATTATTTCTCTGTTTGTGAAAGCATCTCACCGGTTTACTAACTGGTATTTCGTAAAAAGAACCCTTATGCACTCTGAAACGTGACTTTGAGGAAAACCTTTGATGTCTTTGTCCCAGTCTGGTTTCCTTTCCTCGTGCCCTTTCCTCCCACTACACCAGCAAAGTGCCATGCGGCACAAGAAGGGGGCACCTCTCAGACAAAAGGCCCGACTCCTGGCTCCACTTGTGAAACAACGCTCCCAACTCCTTCCCTCTGCTCTCTCATTTACCAAGGGCCTCTTTTGGCTTTGCAACACACAAACTATCTCAGAGCTGCAGAGGAGGGGGGGTCAGTAGCAGAGATCCAGATGAACGGATCCTGATGGCACCACAGAAACCTTGGCCTTATGAACTTAAAGGTGAGGAAGTGAGGACTGGGAAATTGCACCAAGCAGCTCACTTAGTGGTCATGGTAACATGCAGTGTTAGCTAATCAGCTTGTTCTGCGGATTATATCCCAACCTGTCAAAAGGGAAAAAATCCTGGCAATTTGCATGCCAGAGTTTTACATAAAGATGTCAGCTGAGTATTGGCACTTTGCCATTGTCTCAACTCTCATTGGTTCTGTACCACACAGCACTGCTTAAGGACCTGCAGTGCCCACTGCTGGTACCCCCACTCAACTTGGTTTATGGGACCACCTTGTTCATGCTTCCAAGTGAACTCCTCCAAGGTGACAATTTTGACGTAAGCAGGCAGCAGCCACTGATTGGCCAACAGGGTTACCTGCCCAGTTAGTTTGTTTTTTCATGTTTCCTAGTTTCTAGTTCAGAGTGGAAGCTCCAAAAGCAGTGTCATGGACCAATGACGAGGTCCAGACCTTTCTGTCTTTATTGGCAGATCATAGGTGAGCTGGACGGTGCTGCAAGGAACAAGCGAATTTACCTTGAGATATCAGAGATGATGGTGCAGCATGGCTACACCTAGACCTTCAAACAGTGCCAGGATAAGTTAAAAAAATTGAAGTCAGATTACAGTTACGATGCCCACCCACTATGCATTGACGATCCTGCCCGCAGAGCACGAGTCACAGTGGCAAATCACCTCCACCTGAGAAGAACCGATAAGAGGAGAACCAACTCGAGTCCTACTTATCAATGGCCTACGCAAGTTATCCTGCGTTGAGAATAACTCTCAGCTATTATCAAGCTGGATTTTAGCTCAACATCCGTAAAACAGCAGTTAAATAGATTTTTATGTTTGATAAGGGTCGACTAGCCATAGTGGGTTGAATCCAAACATTTATGAGTTATAGATGTACTGTATGTGAAATGATTATTTTCTAACAGTTTCTGTAAAATTTGTTCTGAGATATTTTACTAACAGACAAACACACACAATTATTCGACTTGTTTGGCTTTGAGCGATTAATATAAGACTTCAACCTACAGAAAATTTTTATAATTAAAACAGCTGATTAATAATCCAGTTTTTCTCCTAATTTTTGGTTTACAACAGAGGAATTGCATCATTTCAAAGGGAAGACACACCGGTAAACTGACTGGTAATTTTTGTCATACCAGTCAATGGGGATTTTTCCTGCCTTCAGGGAAAACTTCAATCATGTGTAATCCCATCAGAATTAAGAAAGAACAAGACGGTACAACATCACTGTAACAAAAGGCTCAATCAGAGTAAAGTAGCTGTGATTTCTGCCTGTCTTAAAAACAACATCCACTGTTCTGCCGTGGCCCGCGGGCTCAGGGTCTGGTTACACCTGGTTTCCAGGGTTATACTCACCTCAAACAGGAAGTTGTTTTAAAGTCTTTAAAATGAAAAGAGGTAAGATGTTATAATTACTCTTTGTTTCAATTCCAGGTCCTTTGAAGTGGTTTCCAAAATAATTTTTTGACCCCAGTTTTTGTTGTCATAATAAATGTCTGGTTATAGCAGAAGCAGTCTTTTATAACTTCTAGTTGCTGCCACTTAGTGTTTTCTGTTTGCACAAATAAAGGCCTTATAAATAATATATAATAAAGGCATAGTAATTAATCTGTTTTAACAGACTTTTATTTTGAAATAACTCTACACAGATCTGTTGATTGAACAGGAAAGAAGTGGAACTTTAAATGATAAATGGACTGTACTTATGTACCACATTTCTATCTTATTTCAAGATACTCAAAGTGCTTTACACTACAATCTGTGTCCTCATTTACCCATTCATATAGCACTCTACTAAATCTGTACAAAGCTAATTGAACAAATTATTCTAATGAGACTAATCAGTGCTTTAGATCACATTCATACACTGATGGGACACACATCAGAGGCTATGAGGGGTTCAGTATCTTGCCCAGGGACAGTTCAGCGTGTGACTGCTAGTGGATTCGAACCCCCAACTCTTGCATTGGAAGACGACTGCTCCAACCACTCAGCCACAGCCACCCCGTCTTTATTGAATGAGGGTGAAACTGAAGGAGTAGATATGTCAAAATGATTTGCAGCTCCTAACGAGTCACGTGAGAAAGTCAACCAACAACTAATACACAGAAAATCACAAGTTTATTACAATACTTTAGCAGTGCAGACAGTGATAGCATAGTGTATCAGGAGTTACTGTTGAGATTCTGTCACTTTATTTTGGTGAATATGTGATGTTTCATAGCTGCTACAGCAGCCACGTCAGCAAGACACAGTTTCCGTACTTCTCATGGAGTATAAACAAGGCTTTATCGTTGGAACAAATCACTTTTGTTATAGTGGTATATCTGGGACATTTCTGCTACAGAATTGCTGCTGCTACAGCAGCTATGTCATGCCATCTAAGTTACAGCAACTGAAGATTGACTCTCATACTTACAGTAGTTGCTTCTGTTTATGTCAGGTGTACACCAAGGCTCCGTTCTTGGTCTAAATTATATCTCACATTCTGTTAGTGAGGTCTGTATATGCCGATGACACTATTTCATATGCGTTTGGTTCTACTCCGTATGAGGTGAAGTCCATTGCAGTTTTCTTGAAATCCAGCAGGCCTTTCTGAATAAATTTGTCCTTAAATGCAAAGAAAACTAAAATGATGTGGTTCAGTCATGGAGGAGAAACCATACAGTGGACTTCGCTGCTGTAAACAGTGATATTATAGAAGAGGTAACAGTTTACAAATATTTGGGAATTTGGATTGACGGTGCTCTGTCATTTTCACATGATTTTAATGTTTTGCATTCAAAGGTTAAAGCCATACTTGGTTATCTACCGGTATATAGAAATCAGTCTTCATTTACATCGGCTGCAAAACGCACCATTGATGAAAAAATAATAATTCTGCCTCTCTTGGATTATGGAGACATAATTTACAGACATGTTTGTAAGGGTGTCCTTCATAATGTGGACACAATTTATCACTCTATTTACTTCGTTGCAAATGCTCCCTCTACTCTCTTGTTAAATGGCCTTTAAATACTCTTGGTGAAAATTGTTAGTTTACTCTCATTTATAAGACATTGCTGGGTTATTCTTCTCCATATTTAACTAATCTACTGTAAATAGCACCTGTTTCGAAGTATAACACCCGATACTGTCAGTATTTGCGGTTAATAACTTTAACTTTGTGTTCTTTGCCTCTGCTGCTTTGAATCTGACCTCCCTTGTCTCAGTTTCAAGTTTTAAAAATTGTTTAAAAGCCATTTTTAAAGATACTTGCAAATGTTTTCTAGCTTAGTAAAGTTGTCGTTTGGCTTTGACAATGAACTGTTGTTAATGTAATTTGTGATTTCCTTGTTTCTGACTACTGCATTTTATTGTTTTGCCTAACTGTATTGTCTCCTTTCCCTTGACCCTACAAGTACCTGTTGGTGCTGCCAGGCCAGCACTGTAAATAATAATTTGTTCTTAGTGTTTATGCCTGGTTAAATAAAGGTGAAATGAAATGAAAACATGTCAGTGAGACATAACTTCAGTACTTCTCGTGGAGTATATACAAGACTTTATTGTTGGAATGCTGTCACTTTTGTTATTGTGGTGTATATGGGTTGTTGCATAGCTGCTACAGAATTTTTCAACATGACAATAAATCCATAGCAGCCTGCTTCTTCCAGCCACGTATCTCATCATGTTGTAGAAACATCAAGTAAGATGGGGGTAATATCATGCCAACTTTCACCTTTGACCTCATGGTTCCATTGTTCAGATGAACCCACAGTTCTACCCCAGAATTACTTTATCTACACATTGAAAAAAGCAAAACAGTCAAAATACGTCATTCTGGTTTGTGGGTTCTGGCTGATTTTTCTGCATCAAACATTTGAAGCCCAAACATATTGAGCTGAAGAGAATGAGTGGATATTTTATTTTGTGGTGAGAGCTTTTCCTCTCCTTAAATCAAGACAGTAATGATAGTAATTAATGAATATCTGATGCATTGTTTTTAATGAGTCTTCCCGTCAGACCATTTATGGCAGGAAATGGTGGATTTCTGCATTCCTTGTTTGACCCATAAAAACAACGTTCATTGTTGTGTAAAACCTGCTTTGGCCTTTTTGGAGCCGTTAATGAAGAAACTTTTCTCGGGGCGAAAGCCACAGAGAATAACAGGTTTAAATTACTGTTGAGTTACGAGAACAGTAAAACCTAGCACTCACGCCATTGACACACAACTGTACGCCGGCTTTAATATTTCCTGTCAGGACCGTAATTTGTTCTCTCTTTCATGCTTACAGGTTCCCACCACCTTTTTCCCACTTTTCACACCCCCATTCCCATTGACATGAGGCACCATGAGGGGCGGTACCATTATGAGCCACACCCACTCCACGCCATGCATGGGTATGTATCCATAGATCCTTTCTCCAAATCTAATCCTGTTTTGATTGGCTCCTTTCCTACTCTTAAAATAAAATTAATCCTTTTGTTTATCAATCTAGTTTCTCAAAATAGTATTATTTGGCTAAGCCTTAGAAAAATATCCACCCGATGTTATAATTTTTCCAAGTATCTACCATATTTTATACCAGTCCTTTAAAAAAAAGAATGAAGAATGAAATGTTGCTTTTTTTTACTTTGGTCTAATTGTTTCTCATGAAAATCACTTAGAGGGCAAATTTCAGTTACCAAAAAACAGAGCAAAGGGATTTTAAAAATCTCAATTTATTTTGATGCTTTTTCATCAAACTATACAGTAATCCCTCGTTTACTGTGGATGTTTGGTTCCGACCCCCCCTTTTTAGTCAGGTTCGGATCAGATCTAAACTCCATCCATCCATCCATTTTCTTCCGCTTATCCGGGGTCGGGTCGCGGGGGTAGCAGCCTAAGTAGGGAGGCCCAGACTTCCCTCTCCCCAGCCACTTGGGCCAGCTCTTCCGGGGGAATCCCGAGGCGTTCCCAGGCCAGCCGAGAAACGTAGTCCCTCCAGCGTGTCCTGGGTCTTCCCCTGGGCCTCCTTCCGGTGGGACGTGTCCGGAACACCTCACCAGGGAGGCGTCCAGAAGGCATCCTAAACAGATGCCCAAGCCACCTCAACTGGCTCCTCTCGATGTGGAGAAGCAGCGGCTCTACTCCGAGTCCCTCCCGGATGATCGAGCTTCTCACCCTGTCTCTAAGGGAGAGCCCAGACACCCTGCGGAGAAAACTCATTTCGGCCGCTTGTATCCGAGATCTCATTCTTTCGGTCACAACCCAAAGCTCGTGACCATAGATGAGGGTGGGAACGTAGATCGATCGGTAAATTGAGAGCTTCGCCTTTTGACTCAGCTCTCTCTTCACCACGACAGACCTGTACAGCGCCCGCTTCACTGCAGACGCTGCACCTATCCGCCTATCGATCTCACGCTCCATTTTTCCCTCATTCGTGAACAAGACCCCAAGATACTTGAACTCCTCCACTTGGGGTAGGACCTCCTCCCTGACCCAGAGAGGGCACTCTACCCTTTTCCGGCTCAAGACCATGGCCTCGGATTTGGAGGAACTGATCTTCATCCCTGCCGCATCGCATTCGGCTGCGAACCACTCCAGCGAAAGCTGCAGATCACGATCTGATGAAGCCAATAAGACCACATCATCTGCAAAAAGCAGAGACGCAATTCTGAGGCCACCAAAACGGATCCCCTCAACACCTTGGCTGCGCCTAGAAATTCTGTCCATAAAAGTTATGAACAGAATCGGTGACAAAGGGCAACCTTGGCGGAGTCCAACTCTCACTGGGAACAAGCCCGACTTACTGCCGGCGATGCGGACCAGGCTCTGACACCGGTTATACAGGGACCTAACAGCCCGTATCAAAGGGCCTGGTACCCCATACTCCCAGAGTACCCCCCACAGGGCCCCCCGAGGGACGCGGTCGAACGCCTTCTCCAAGTCCACAAAGCACATGTAGACTGGTTGGGCAAACTCCCACGCACCCTCCAGGACCCTGCTGAGAGTGTAGAGCTGGTCCAGTGTTCCACGGCCAGGACGAAAACCGCACTGTTCCTCCTGAATCCGAGGTTCGACTATCCGACGGACCCTCCTCTCCAGAACCCCCGAATAGACCTTACCAGGGAGGCTTAAGAGCGTGATTCCCCTGTAGTTGGAACACACTCTACGGTCCCCCTTTTTGAATAGGGGGACCACCACCCCGGTCTGCCAATCCAGGGGAACTTCCCCCGATGTCCACGCAACATTGCAGAGTCGCGTAAGCCAACACAACCCTACAACATCCAGAGCCTTAAGGAACTCCGGGCGGATCTCATCCACCCCTGGGGCCCTGCCACCGAGGAGCTTTTTAACAACCTCTGCGACCTCAGCACCAGAGATTGGAGGGCCCAACCCAGAGTCCCCAGGCTCCGCTTCCTCAGTGGAAGACGTGCCGGTGGGATTGAGGAGGTCTTCAAAGTATTCCGCCCACCGACCCACAACATCCCGAGTTGAGGTCAGCAGCACACCACTCCCACTATAAACAGTGTTGGTGGCATACCGCTTCCCCCCCCTGAGACGCCGGATGGTGGACCAGAAACGTCTCGAAGCCGTGCGGAAGTCGTTCTCCATGGCCTCTCCGAACTCCTCCCATGCCCGAGTTTTTGCCTCAGCAACCACCCGAGCCGCATGTCGCTTGGACTGCCGGTACCCATCAGCTGCTTCCGGGGTCCCACAGGCCAAAAAGGCCCGATAGGACTCCTTCTTCAGCCTGACAGCATCCCTCACCGACGGTGTCCACCATCGGGTTCGAGGGTTGCCGCCGCGACAGGCACCGACAACCTTGCGGCCGCAGCTCTGGTAAGCCGCCTCGACAATAGAGGCACGAAACATGGTCCACTCAGACTCAATGTCCCCCACCTCCCTTGGAACATGTTCAAAGTTCTCCCGGAGGTGGGAGTTGAAACTCCGTCTCACAGGAGACTCTGCCAGACGTTCCCAGCAAACCCTCACAATACGTTTGGGCCTACCAGGTCTGACCGGCATCCTCCCCCACCATCGGAGCCAACTCACCACCAGGTAGTGATCAGTTGACAGCTCCGCCCCTCTCTTCACCCGAGTGTCCAAGACATGTGGCCGCAGATCAGATGAGACGATGACAAAGTCGATCATCGAACTGCGGCCTAGGGTGTCCTGGTGCCAAGAGCACATATGGACACCCTTATGCCTGAACAAGGTGTTCGTTATTGACAATCCATGACGAGCACAGAAGTCCAACAACAGAACACCACTCTGGTTCAGATCAGGGGGGGCCGTTCCTCCCAACCACACCCCTCCAGGTCTCACTGTCATTGCCCACATGAGCATTGAAGTCCCCCAGCAGAACAAGGGAGTCCCCAGAAGGTGCACTTTCCAGTACCCCCTCTAAGGACTCCAGAAAGGGTGGATAATCTGAACTGCCGTTTGGTGCATAAGCACAAACGACAGTCAGAACCCGTCCCCCCACACGTAGGCGGAGAGAGGCCACCCTCTCATTCACCGGGGTGAACCCCAATACACAGGCACCAAGTTGGGGGGCAATTAGTACGCCCACACCTGCTCGGCGCCTCTCACCAGGGGCAACTCCAGAGTGGAAGAGTGTCCAGCCCCTCTCAAGGAAACTGGTTCCAGAGCCCGAGCCATGCGTAGAGGTGAGTCCGACTATTTCTAGCCGGAACCTCTCAGCCTCACACACCAGCTCAGGCTCCTTCCCCACCAGTGAGGTGACATTCCACGTCCCAATAGCCAGCTTCTGTAGCCGAGGATCAGACCGCCAGGGTCCCCGCCCTCGGCCACCACCCATCCCACATTGCACCTGACCCCTTTGGCCCCTCCCACAGGTGGTGAGCCCATGGGAAGGGGGACCCACGTCTCCTCTTCGGGCTGTGCCCGGCCGAGCTCCATGGGTAAAAGCCCGGCCACCAGGCGCTCGCCCACGTGCCCCACCTCCAGGCCTGGCTCCAGAGTGGGGCCCCGGTGACCCACGTCCGGGCAAGGGAACACTAGGTCCATTTGTGTTTTCCATCATAGGGGTATGTTTGGGCTGCACTTTGTCTGGTCCCTCACCTAGGACCTGTCTGCCATGGGTGACCCTACTAGGGGCATAAAGCCCCTGACAGCATAGCTCCTAGGATCATTGGGACACTCAAACCCCTCCACCACGGTAAGGTGGCAGCCCAGGGAGGGGATCTAAACTTTCCTTCCATTATGGCAGAAAGCACATGGCTGGAAACACTGTTGAATTCTGGGAAGTGCACTTTTGCCTTGTGGGTAATGTAGTTCTTTTGGACTGGCAATACTGTATAAAATTATTGAAAGAAAACTACAAAATGGTGGTGATTGTCCGAATTATTATTATTATTTTTTGTCATTAACTTTTTCCCAACCACATGAGTACAGTAATATTACTGTAAAGTCAACAATCATGTGTTGTACTGTACAATTATTTTGTTACAATATTACTGTATGTTCACAAACCGCGATAGAGCGAATCGGCAAAAGTCGAACTGCGAAGTAGCGAGGGACCACTGTATCTTGTCATTTATCCCGACTCAACAGTTCTTGTTCTGGGACATAAATAATAATATTAATTCATCAATGCCTGCTTTCCATGGCAGTGGGCGATAAAGGTATTTATTTATTATTTTGACAGTCGTAAGTTAAAGCCAGTTCCTGTTTGCTTTTTAGATTTTCATGACTTTAAATACTCAGTTCTGTTTTGAGGGCAGCCATGATGGATGGAAAGACAAACCTGCTGTTTACAATAAAAGTCAAGAGGGCTCAGAATCTGCTGTGGTCACCAACGGAGGTGATTTGAGTCTTTTCGCAGGGATGGACACGGAGCGAAAAGTAAGACAAGCAGTCGCTGCTTAAAAACTGGATGTGTTGAAAAACTTCTTGAACCATGGGCAACAGGAGGCTCCTGTAAATGTTCACATTTTCACAGATCTTTTTGTACAACATGTGACAAAATAAAAACACCTTTCACTTCAAGCTTTGAAGAGAAAAGTCCAGCGAATGTAATTTACAAGTTTTATGGAGCTCTCTTCTTCTGCGGGATTTGAAGGAAAACAAATTCCTGGACTAATAAAGTAACATTTACAGAAAGAGAGAATAAAATCTCTGGTTCTGATGCGTTTTGCTTATACTGTATATTTCAAAAGATGGTTTGGTCAAGTTTTATGAATTCAACACCCAATTTAAACTACTGAGAATTATTTTTCAACATGTAAAACCCGAGACTGAAAGTGTGCTTCTTACTTTGTACTATGATTAAAGTTGAAAGTCTGTGTTAGTTTTTCAACTTTTCCAAGAATTTGACTGGTTCCTTGACTTTCCTGAAGCACCATTGCAGTAAAAATCTATTCTTCTCAGCCCAGCTTATCTGTATTATTGC